CACTGTTGCACTGTTGTCCTTTTCTGTTCAAGTGCACGCCTACGTATGTGTTTTTCTGTGGTTTTTAATTGCATTCCATTGCATGTTCCGTAATAAAATACAACCACAACTCTTGCACTTGTAGAGGAATCTGGTGAGATGAAATAAAGTCACAGCCCTATGCTTTAGTTACCCTTAAAGGTCCTGTTACACGGTGCAATTTTTCATGCAACTTGTCTCGCAATGTTTAAAAAAGATTTTGATAATGCATTGCACGAGGTGTTACACGCTGCAATGATTTTCATGCAACTCGCAATGATAGGGGACAGAGGCATGCGAAGAGACTAGGGAGAGGCACTATTTGGCGCCAAATTTTAATTAAAGTAAAGCGTGTACTGGGGAGAGCCAATAGGAACTCTCCAAGCAGTGGCATAACGTTATATCAGGGGGCCCCTGGTTCAAAATTTTCGAAGCCCCCCCCCCCCAGAAGTACCAAAGGCACGAGTTGAGCGTCGTATATGCACAAGTTTTCTAGGGGTCCAGGGCATGCTCGCCCAGAAAATTTTTGAATCTAGACTCTCTGAAATGCCATTTCCCGGACTTTGGGGAGAGATTTTACAGAATTCTGATGGTCAGAAAACGACATTGTGACATATCAGAGGCCCTAGCCAATGTTTTTACTCTACAGCCTGACAGCCTGGGGGCCCCCATTTAGCCCATTGGGGTTGGGGGCCCCCGGGTTCGCCTAGTCCGAGCCCATAGTAGTTACGCCACTGTCTCCAAGCTATAAACCTTGCAAGACAAGTTGCACGAAGCCATGTTACACGCTGCAATGCTAAAAATAATTAGTGCAATCATTGCCAAAAGTATAACCGACTTCTACTCTGTGCAATGCTTCATGTAACTTGTCTCGCAAAGATTTTGACCATTGCAAGGCATGTTAAACAGTGCAATGACAACGATGCAATGCCATTGCGAGACAAGTGGCATGAAAAATTGCACCGTGTGACAGGGCCTTAAGTCTTGGAGTTGAGATGGTTTATGAAAGGAGTGAGTGTGCAATAGTTACCAACCTTTTGGCAAAGATCATTTGAATGTTTGAAAAGGTGTGAAGGACATACTCTATTGGAATTGGAATCATATGTTCTTCCATATTTTTGCCTTATTATGTGTAAATTTGGATATCGCAATTGATTTGGATAAATCAAGGAATAACTATAAAATACCCTGCAAATGAGATCCATATAGTCAATCTTTTGAAGAATGACACATACACACAATAAAAACACTAAAGGATAAATATATTGAATGTCGCTTGCAGGGTATTCTATATGTTATACATAAGGCAAAAAAATGTGGGTTTCCGGATTCCAGACCCTACCTAGCTTTTGGACGTCGAAATCCTGACCCTAAACTTTTTTATTGGATCATGCTTGTAAGGGTTTCCACTTAGAGGAAAAAGTTTGTGGAAAATCGAAATTTGAGGCAATATTAGAGAAATTTATCTTTGGATGTGGAAGCATTGACTAAACAAAATGGCGTACGGTTGTTAGGAAAATTGAAAAAAAAGTTTAAAAAAAAAGTTAAAACCGACCTACCCTACCTAAGTTTTTATAAGAAGAACCCGGAAACCCACATTTTTTTTCTTCCTAAATCAATTCACAAAGCAAGCGCCAAGGTTATTTTGAAGGAAAATATTGATCTGACAAATGAAATATTCTGCCACAGGGCCACCTATACCAGCCAAATCCTAGCTATGGCACAGACCTATAGCTAAGCCGATGTAATTTTCTGGGGGGGGGGTGCACCCCCCCCCCCCAAAGGCATTTGACACACACCCAAATTACATCTATTTTGATTTGATAGTTTCATATTTGATTATTCTTACTACTAAATTTGTAAATGTACCAATATTATGGTCTCAGATCTCGCCATGCAGGCCTAGAAAACAAATTTTGTTAAACTTTTTCCTTGGCCTTTCCGGGTGTTGCCACCACGCCCCGGCCAAAGCAATCAGCAGCACCCCCCCCCCCTGACCTCTAATACTGTAATCCCAGAGTATTTTATGTTTTAGATTTTTTATGTCCATTGCATGAAGATTAATCAACCAATGAAAGTATTTGTATTTGACAAAATTCTATCTGAACAAACATTAACAAATAACAGTCTTTCTCATTGTAGGTAGTGATACGTACAAAGCTCAAAGTGTGCATAGTATTGCAACTATACACAGTTTGAGCTTTGAACAAACATTGATCTTACCTTTCGATTGCATAATCTAAGCCACTCTCGTCGAGGACCACCGCTATCCTGAGCTCTTTCACTATAGAAATCTACTTCAAATGTAACAGCAGGATCTTCAATTTCTTTTAATTCTTCAAATGTTGTCTGCAAAATGTTTTCTCGATCCACAGTTATAAAATTTGTTTCACCCTCTAATGCTGTGTATTCATCAACTATATCTAATGGCCTTCCTCTATGAACCTTGCCTTGATAATATCTAAGCATCTCACTACTAGTATCGTTCATGTCACTTGGAAATTCAGCAATAATTGTTTGATATCTTTCATCAATTTTCCATGATTGCGGTTGAACTACACCTGAGGTAGTATAATGGCTCTCTGAAAGCAACGTAGGAGACATGACACTTGAAGTATTTGTTTCAGACATACCAGGTTGCTCAACCTGACCAATCACAGTCACCAAATCTTCATCATCCGACTCAGGGGGATTATTTAAGACAAATTCAAACCCTTTCTTGATTCTGATGTATAATAAGCCTTGACCTGCCAGTTTCTTTACCACAGCATAGTTATACTGAGCACCTTCTGCCATTTTTAGCAGTGTTATTTTTTTCTGGGTGACCTTCACGAATTCAAAATCGTTCAGTCCAAGAATGGAATAAGTCCCCTTAAGGCTTGATAGCAATTTTGCCCGAATTTCCTTTTCACTATCATCCTCCAATAATTCCACGATTCCTCTTTCAATAATATTCTCCTTTTTCAAATTTTCCAACTGCTCTTCTTCTTCTTCTTCATCATCAGATGACGCAGCTTTGATTAACGCAAATTCGAAAGGTTTTTTTTCTATTTTAGCTTTCTTTTTTGGTCTTCCCATTGATGGGGATGCGGTTGCACGAAGTCGCTCGTTGCGATTCAATCGTCTATACAATCCAGAATTCGAACTTGCAGTCATCATTTGCCTAGCTCTAGATAAGGCTTCGGTGATCGAGTTGCCGGCAGAAACGGCTGATGATGAAGCTGTGGTAGATCGACCCCTAGCATCCCTAGATGGTGTCTCAGAATCAGTGCTTGTTCTTGTCGATCTTGTACTGTTATTGCTTGAGGTTGTACTTTCATGAGTTTCATCAACACTTCGAACAACTTCCGAAGCTTGCTGCAGTATCCCAGCGAGACGATTTAGCTTATCTCGATCCATATGAACTACTGGAACCAACAACACTTTTCAGTTTAAAGTGAATAAAGGAAATGAATATGTATTTTTTTAATATATTTAACTGCGTAAATGCAAAGCAATTGAAGCAATATGGTTTCCCAGAAAAATGGCGGGAAACCCAGAGTCGATGTTTCCATATATTGCTTTCTAATATTCAGTTTTCCGATTAAATTTCGCTTGCCGACTTACTGCCGAGAGCCAACGTCTATTTCCGAGCGAGTGTTGCAGGATTGAATGAATATTGCAGGATTAAATTGAATGAATATTGCAGGATTGAATGAATATTACAGGATTAAATTGAATGAATATTGCAGGATTAAATTGAATGTATATTGCAGGATTAAATTGAATGAATATTGCAGGATTAAATTGAATGTATATTGCAGGATTAAATTGAATGAATACGGTAGGATTAAATTGAATGTATATTGCAGGATTAAATTGAATGAATATTGCAGGATTAAATTGAATGTATATTGCAGGATTAAATTGAATGAATATTGCAAGATTAAATTGAATGTATATTACAGGATTAAATTGAACGTATATTGCAGGATTAAATTGAATGAATATTGCAGGATTAAATTGAATGAATATATATATTTATATTAAATTGAATAGATGTGATGTTTTAAATTGAATAAAATTCAGGAGAATGAATATTGCTACAAATGAGCAGGCATACGAGGGTCATCACCCTCTCAAATTATAATCATACATTGTATTTGAATTTTGAAAAAAAATACTCAGTCTTTGGGGAGCTAATTTATTGATCGATTTAATTGTAAATAAGTCTGGTTTTAATTTGTGCTCTGCGTTCTTCAAGGGTTGTCCAACCAAGTGAATTGCGAGCCAATAACTGTTGTCCAGACTTATTTTTGAAATTCATAATTATTCTAGCTGCCCTATTTTGCAGTTTTTGAAGACGATCACTAAGCGTTTTACCTATTATACGTCCCAAACTTCGCAACAGTAATCGAGGTGCGGCTGGATTAGACAGTGCTTCCATTTTCAAGGAAATTTCCTTTTCTAAGGAAATTCTAGTGTCGAAAAGGAAAATCTAAGGAAGAGAAAAAATCTAAGGAAATCTAAGGAATTTTTCCGAACAACTTAAATATTCATCCAAGTGCATTAGTGCAGAAGAAAGTTACACTATTTCTTGAATTTTGAGTGAATCATCAATTATGTTTAATTAAAAATCTGTTTTTAACTTTTTCCTCGTGTTTCCGAAAACGTCTGAAAGTTTTTGAGCGATGGGATTTGGTAACTTTTGGCGCCAAACGCTGTGAATAATTAATTATTTATATCAATGGAAGGTATATGTTGTAAACTCATAACAAATATTTAATTTTAGACAGTATAATAGCCTGTGGTTTTTTAGCTAGCTATCATCTTTGTTAATTGTGCTATTTTGTGCCTTTAAAATTGATTAAATCCTTTGTATTGCTACAAAAGCACTGCAAATCGCCTAATGAAATTTCAAGGAATTTTCAAGGAAATAACGTATACAATCTAAGGAATTTAGAGAAATTTTGATGACAAAAATGAGAAATTTTGATTTTGAAAATGGAAGCACTGGGATTAGAGCCTTTATATATATATATATATATATATATATATATATATATATATAACTACAGACGGTACCATTTCGGCCTTATGGGCCTCATGAGCAGGATGAAAGTAACTGCTATTTACAGTTACCTTTGATGCCTCACGATTGTGGGACATCAAAACCATGCCAGAGCGCTCAAACTGCAAGCAGTGAGCGTGCGCATATATATATATATATATAGCAGTTCGCCAACTATATATAACCAGAAAATATATATTTTATTTTTAACTATATGTTTTAACGCATGCATGCGTCATGCGTTAACGCGGCCGGCAAAGTAGTTTCGATTTATTGGCAGAATTTCGAGATTAAGAAAAGGTTAAAGGCCCAACAAAAATATTTGGTACACAAGCATAAGTAAGAACTATTTAAACTTACAATTTGAGCCTTATTTCGCAACAAATAAGTTGAATAAAAAAGGCGCGGGAAGATTGACAGAGGTCACAGAGCCCTCAATGTCATGCAATGGTAGTCAGGCTCGTGGATGGAATCTTCTGATTGGTCAGAACTACATTGAACCGAACCATATTAGGCATGTATATATACATAAACAATTAGACCGCGATTTAGAAAAGACGCGCCTTCGAAACAAAGAAACTCTTCCCCACCTATATAGGGGGTATCCTCAACAACTTTGTCATTCTGCATGAATACAACATACAACGCTATAAACTATAAGATTTTCACGTCTTTGGAGAAACGTGAATGCTTGTTGCGACGTTAGAGGAGTTACATAAAATCTGTCTTAAAGCAGACATCAGATCGTTTTTCCCGAACTTAGCCGTTTGTATATAAGTTTTAGAAAGCTTCAATTTATTACAGTAATTGTAGAGAATGTTCCCTCCGCTGAACAGATGTTCTCCACAATCACAATAAATCACAATAAACACGCGTATAAAACGTATATAAATCTCTTCGTATTTCTCGCAGTCTCACAATAATACGCCCTGTTTTCACATGCACTATAAAAACCTATATTGTTTACTTTTATCCAAATGTCAATCATTACGCTAAAACTAATAGATGACCATATTAGGCAATGTTGTTCTCAGTATTCATCTAGTTAGGGACGGACCATTTGATTTTTCATGGGGGAGGGGCGCATTTTTGAGAGTGCTCGATTTTTTTTTGGACCTCACCGACTCCGCACGATTTTTTTTTATCGAATCTTGCCGCGTGCACGATATTTTTTTAAATTTTAACTATAGCGTTAATACAATAATAACCACGTATGGTTATATTCCGGTTGAAGAATGTATTTGAATATACAGCATATAACCACAAAATAGGAAAGTATAGCAGAAGTGTAACCCACGAAAATTTTAACTCGCTCACGCCATCCTGGCTAGTACAGCCGGAAGTTTTTATCAGGTTTTGATAGGTACAAAGTGCCGGTTGTACTAGCCAGGATGGCGTGATTGATGATCGGACGAATCGCTTGTAAAAACGCGGACAAATACTTGCTTGAGTGAGACTTCTGGTATACCTTCCTATTCTATGATATAACTATCACAGCCCATTTTATACTTGGCCAATTTTATACTTGGCCCATTTTATACGGGGCTATGGTCTACGAAATGTAGACCATAGTCCCAATCAAAATTGGATCAAGTGTATTAAAGTGTGTAACCCATTTTGCATTGGCGTAATGGCATCTATATACAAATTCTCACGGTTCCCAATCGTATCAGTGTTCCCAATACGTATTATAAACTGCGATTTTTATTCAGAATCAGAGAGCGATATTAATGAGCCGGGTGGGTAAGGGTATTTTTGTGACCCGTGAATGCAGTGGCGTAGCCAGACTATAATTTTTGGGAGGGCATATATCGAACGCCGAAGGCGTAAGCCTTTTTAGGGGGGTCCGGGGGCATTCTCGAGACCCCGGGAAAATTTTGAAATCTGGAGTCCCTCAATGGCGATTTCCCGTGTTTCTGGGGAGAGATTTTGCATAATTCTGAAGATTATTTACTGCAGGAAAGACCTGATTTTTAATGATTTCTCAATAATGTGGATCCTTAATTTGACTCAATGAAGCTTACTTGGTCGCGTGTGAATAGTTAAATCGAAGTTTTAAAACGCATTTTAACCAATAACCACCATAGGCATTATTTTCTGTAGTTAGATTTAGGAAAGATTAGAACTTTTATAGACAATTTGGTGAACAGATGAGATTGGTAGTCACATGGGTAGTCATCGTCCCCCCCCTAATTTCTACCCGGATTTCATCTTTTTACAAGGGCAGTCCATCAGCCTATTTGGGGGGGGGGGGCTGAGCCCCCCCCTTGTCTACGCCACTGCGTGAATGGTCAATATTTGATCGTGTGAAATGCTTGATTTTACTGTCATGATCTGTGATTTGTTCTACAGCCGTGAGGCGTGATTGTCGATCAAAAAATGCTCCGTGAAATGGGAATTAAGGATGTCTGTTTCGTGAACTGTGATTTTGATTTGTTTATTCCGATCTATTTTATAATAGTGATAATGGACATAATACGCGATAATAGTTTATATGATCGATCTCACTCGATTGCACAAGAGTAGAAACTTCGGAGGCCTTTCGGAGATCGTCGGACGTACTCATCACTCAAACTTGTAAGTAGTTTTTAACTGCCAGGCAGAGAAGAGAACTTAAAGCGTAGTACTGTACCATGCATTAAACATAATCTTAAAGCTATTATTATTATATTATTTTTATTAGAGTCTCGTTATCCGTGAAATGTGAAATTGCTTTTTTATGGCACGTGAATTGTGAAACGGTATTTTTTTGTTGTGAAACGTGAATCATACCCCCCCCCCCTTTCCCACCCTCATTAATCGATGTCGAATTTACAGAAGTGTGGGACTTTCAGTGTTAAGATTGGGGTTTTTAGGGATACCATTATTGAAGTCAAAGTTGTCAGAACTGGTTTGTATCGGTTTGTATTTTGCATGTATACTTCCGGTATTGTTAACCAAGGCAGAACCGAAACACTCAACAGAAAAAAACTAAGGGAAACTGAATTTTTCTTTCAATATAGAGTATTGCTAATTTAGAATTTTTTTGTGCTCGATATTTTTTTTTGCTGGTGTTAGTGATGTTCGATTTTTTTTTCTTCCATTCGAGACATGCTCGATATTTTTTTTCGGATTTGCGCCCCCCCCCCATGAAAAATCAAATGGTCCGTCCCTTATATAAAAGTTATTAATCAACTAATCCCAAAATAGCGAAATTGATGTACTAAAGTGTCAAAACTTCATAACATAATCAAGTTTCGTATAGACTTCTTATTCTGTGCTATAGTGCTCTATATCTTGAGCTGAAAATGAGACCGCGTCGTCGACAGTACTGCAGTATTTCAAGGCAAAACCCTTTAAAGTCCTTTTC